TATTACATCGCTGGTAGCGCCGTGGGCAACATGAAGCGAACCCTGTGTTTCGATCGGCTACCGAGACAAAGTCGATGTCCATAAAAATGCTAAAAAAAAAACAAAAACAAGGCTAATAATCCAGCCAACTTAACCTGACAAGCCTGGTCAATAAAGGATTTACTATTTTACAAAAAGATTCCACTCTATAAAAATTAAAAATAATAATAATAATAATAATAATAATAATAATAATAATAATAAAGAGTATTTCTATAGCGCACAACTCCAATAAATTATCCGTGGCGCTTTACAACAAATAAAAATAAATTATAAGCAAACCACATTTACTAACATTATCACTCACAAACATTTTAAAAAGATAAGTTTTCAAAACGCTTTAAAAATGTCAACAGAAGAACTCCTAGAAATTGAAAGAGGCAAAGAGTTCCACCATCTAGGAGCACATACTGCAAACGATCGATCTCCATAAGTTCGCATTTTTGAAGATGGCTCTACAAGGTCGCCATTACTAACAGATCGCAAAGAATAAGAGCTCCTACGATAAGTTAAAAGATCAGACAAATACGACGGGGCCTTACCATTAAGAGATTATAAACTAAAAGAAGAATCTTAAAGACAATACGATGTCTAATGGGAAGCCAATGCAGATTAATTAAAGTCGGAGTAATATGATCGAACTTCCTAGTCATACAAACTAGACGCGCAGCAGAGTTCTGAACAGATTTTAATTTAGCAATAAGGAACTTAGGAAGTCCATAAAGTAGAGAGTTACAATAGTCAAGTCAGTTTAGAGGTGACTAAAGTATGAACAACCATTTCAGTGGTTTCGCGGGTCAAGTACTCTCTAATTCTCGAAATATTCCTAAGATGATAAAAGGAAGACTTGCAAAGTTCAGAAATATGTGATTTAAAAGACATAGTATCATCGAAGACAACGCTAAGATTGGAAGCGGCTTTCACTGGAGCAAGAAAAATGACTAGTTTACTTCGAGAGCCGGGAAAGAAAGTCAACTATGTTTGTAGCACAATTAACTCACGAGGGTCGTTTCCGTTTTCTTTGTTTTGACTATCCTCTGCCGCCTTTTGCGTCTTCATCGCCGACATTGTCCATGAATTAAGAACTTAGTACTCAATCAATTGTTTTTCATGCGCGGGATAAGTAGGTCAATCCCGACCGGGTAAGATGGGGCTCGGGTAGGCAATCAGAACACAGGATTCACTTCCTAATGCCCACGGGCGCTACCAGCGTTGTAATAAAAGTGCATTACTGTAATCTCCCTGTTTTTACTTCGCCATAAGATATAATAATACGAGCATGGTTGGATTCCAAATACCTATGGAGCGTTTACGAGCTGCGAATTTCTACCAGCTTACAGCTGACTCAGCGAAAGCGATTAGAAAGGGATATTTCATTATACCACTCTAAAGCTACTGGGTGAAAGCTCAATAACATGGTTCATTGTACGGCAATTTGTCACCCACACACGCACGCACGCACACACACAAACCAACACACACACAAAACAAATTTATTGACCATGCAACTACTCTTTTCTTGCAGCAGCCCATGCATTGAGAACTTCTTGAAGAAAGAGAAAGAACTTCAAAGTCTTCAATTCCACTAGGGTAAGCCTTGTCTTTATTCAAGATATACACCGAGAAAAAACTGCGGAACTGTTGTTTATTGTGCAGATTATGCAATTCGTCCGTGCGTCTCGGCTCTCCTTTAAATTTTTTAAGTCTTAATTGAGATTGTGAACCTACACAGCTAAACGTTGGTTTTTGAAAGCTTTATTGATAAGCCTCAGCCCTCATTTGAAGCATATGTATCACATACTGAAGTGCCACTCTCTATTTAAGAAAAGAGTGTAAAACTATTGGATTTCGCTAGTAAAACTTCAAAACTGTTTCACGCATCTTATAAGAGAAAAGTTGAATAATTCGAATTAGAAATTGATGGAAACTGCTGTGTTGAAAAGTTATCAAAAACGACTTTGTCGCGATACTTGAAAATTTGTCAACCGTGACCTTTTTGGGTATGACCTCTGTCTTAACATCGTTTTTGGTGTGATTGATGTCACCTGTGCCCAGCACCAAACATGAGTCCTCTAGTGAACAAAGTAATGCGTCACAAAACACGAAAAGCGCAAAGTCGGCATCGCGTTATTGTATACTTGTAGTGTCGAGAGGTTCGAATAACTGGGAGGAAACATGTAAACGATACTGTAGAACTCAACGATTTCATTCAACATGTCGAACCGAGTGGAGCACATGGCAAAAGAACGCTTAACTGAGCATGCGCTGACTTACATGAAGATTCATGAGATATAACAATTTTGGAAACATTTGACTTGTTTTGTGTGTCATAAATGTTGGATTGAGAAAAATAAACAATTTAGAGAAAACACAAGCATTTTAAACACGTTGCAAAGTGTTTCGAACACGGAGGAGCGTATAAAAAATAGCATTTGTCAGTGATTTTGTTTCTCGCACTCGAGACAAACAAAAATTCCAAAAATTTATTTAGGTTGTGTATTGCACCCGCCAAAGACTCGCGCAATTATGAAACCTTCAAAACATCCTTACTGCCGATGAATCACGAAATGTCACGGCCACTGATGTGGTAGGGGTAACCAGCCTGGAGAGGCAGCTTTTATGTGCTTTTTTTTTTTTTTAAGGCAAGCGAAGGAAAGTGCATAGAGAGCGTGAGGAGCAAGATCTGCCCGCGCACTAAGGATCCTTACTCTTCCGCATTCCAACACAATATTTCCAACCAATCACATCTGTATACGAAGAAAAGGACGTGATGCTGGGTCAGGGAGGCTTTATTGAAGAGCTGGTTTTTACAAAAAAAACCTAGCCACTTTAAGCCACCTTAAGTAGCGACCATTTGTACGCGTTTTTCAAGCGAGTGAGGGAAAACGCGAGGATTCACGTTCCTTTATTTACGAAAAAAACCAAGCGACCAAAGAACTGGTTTTTATAAAGAGAACTTAATCATAGATGTCTTCTTCTGTTCTTTTGTACGCAGATGTCGACTGTTACCACCCTATTTTGCTTACTTCTCATCCAAATGGTTAGCATTGCTCCATTCCCTTATAATGGACCCTCTCAGCAGAATAAAGACTTCGCCTATCGTGACAGTGATGAGACTGGTAACGCAATCCAAGAACGAAACGCGTTACGTCGTAACGGAAGCAAGAAGAGCAGCTTAAGTTTATTCTACAACCGAGTCACTCGTGCTCTTCATTCATGCGTCGAAAAAGGCTCTCGAAAAGTAGAAATTTGTGGTGACGATCAAGTGGTAACGGTCACGTGTCAGAAGAAAAGCTGGGGTTGCACTAGCAGCTCCCAAGCTTCATCAGACTGCAAAGAAATAATAAAGTACTCTAATGCCTGTGGAACAAAAGTCACGGATTGTGAATGCAAGTAAAAAGTTTATCAAAAACTCCCTTTGGAAATGACATCTGTTTACCAAAGAAACTACCGTTACCCTTTTGCTTTTGAGAAGTAATCAAAATTGTACATACTTTTTTTTAGCAGTACCATAAAACATTTAACATAGTGAAAAAAGCTGGCTATCAGTGCAACGTTTTGTACAGCAATTTCAGATGAANATCTGCCCGCGCACTAAGGATCCTTACTCTTCCGCATTCCAACACAATATTTCCAACCAATCACATCTGTATACGAAGAAAAGGACGTGATGCTGGGTCAGGGAGGCTTTATTGAAGAGCTGGTTTTTACAAAAAAAACCTAGCCACTTTAAGCCACCTTAAGTAGCGACCATTTGTACGCGTTTTTCAGGCGAGTGAGGGAAAACGCGAGGATTCACGTTCCTTTATTTACGAAAAAAACCAAGCGACCAAAGAACTGGTTTTTATAAAGATAACTTAATCATAGATGTCTTCTTCTGTTCTTTTGTACGCAGATGTCGACTGTTACCACCCTATTTTGCTTACTTCTCATCCAAATGGTTAGCATTGCTCCATTCCCTTATAATGGACCCTCTCAGCAGAATAAAGACTTCGCCTATCGTGACAGTGATGAGACTGGTAACGCAATCCAAGAACGAAATGCATTACGTCGTAACGGAAGCAAGAAGAGCAGCTTAAGTTTTTTCTACAACCGAGTCACTCGTGATCTTCATTCATGCGTCAAAAAAGGCTCTCAAAAAGTAGAAAATTGTGGTAACGATCAAGTGGTAACGGTCACGTGTCAGAAGAAAAGCTGGGGTTGCACTAGCAGCTCCCAAGCTTCACCAGACTGCAAAGAAATAATAAAGTACTTTAATGCCTGTGGAAAAAACTTAGTCACGGGTTGTGCATGCAAGTAAAAAGTTTATCAAAAACTCCCTTTGGAAATAACATCTGTTTACCAAAGAAACTGCCGTTACCCTTTTGCTTTTAAGAAGTAATGAAAATTGTACATACTTTTTTTAGCAGTACCATAAAACATTTAACATCGTGAAAAAAGCAACGTTTTGTACAGCAATTTCAGATGAAAGCAGATAGGTAAATAATGATGTCGATTTTTTTTTAAGTCAACAATAATTATTTTTAGGTTGATTTTTTTCGTATTCAGTAAATTTGTCTAATAAAGGGATGATTGGTGCTCTTCAGTCAGCCGTTTCCATATCTAAATTTACAAAAGCAGAGACTGGGGTGAGATTAATGCGAGCTCGGGGACTTGCGCTTGATTAATGGAAAATTGTTTCACTTTCTTCTCAAGTCTTTGACATTTGCTGGCTTTCTTTGAGAGTGAGGAATGTTCTGTTTTCGTGGTTCCAAAGCCTCGAATAACTGGTTTTTTAGTATATACCACAGAAGTGAATATAGTACTTTTCGCGAACGCTGATTGGCCAGTTCGGAAGTGAATGGAAAGAACTATTCACCTCCAATGAGACAAAATCGTGCGAAATGAGTTTAATTATGACCAGTTTTCGGTAAATTGAAAGAAATAATTATTTTTTGGTATCTTTGTGGTATATATTTAAA